AAGTCTGTTCTGAGTCATAGCCACCCCATGTACAACAGAAGAAAACATTGTCTAGTTTTGTAACATCTACACAATTGTCGTTATGTATGAGTCCATTGTTGTAGCAACTCTATGAATGTATCACCTTAAGGGATTTCCTCCTTTTTGCATTTTCAATAGTTTTCAGCAACCGCATAATTCAATTGTGTCAATTAGTTGAGATTCCTTTTTCGTTGTCCAGCTTTCACATGAATGGTCAATGAAAAAGAGGAAGATTCTCAATAAGATGGATGGACATAATGGTATCAACAATGGGCCCAAACAACAATTGTCAGAATAGTGCAGGACAGGGCAGTGTTGTGTTCATAGTGTCCATATGAGTCTGAACAGACTTGACAACATCTAGCAACAACAGCTTTCACATGTGTATGTTGTGTTGTTGTTAGGTGTTGACTCAGTTCTGATTCACAGAAACCCTATATAGGATTTTCAAGGACGTGAATCTGGACAAGAGCAGTAAGCTCACCTTTGTCCCAAGAAGCAACTAACCAGTGAGCATGAACACTGACCTTGTGGTTAGCAGTCCAGTGTTTATTCTACAAAGCCACTATATGAATCAATGGAAATGCCATGGCTTGAGTTAGGCACACTTTAGTCTTCATTAACACTTTAAAGAAGTCTTTTGCAGCAAATTTGTTGACTGTTGCTTCCATGGACTTTGATTATGGCTCTAAGTAAAATCAAATCCTTGACAACTTACATATTTTCTCCATGTATTATGATGTTGTTTTGGTCCCCAGTTGTGAAAATTTTTGTTTTCTTTATATTGAGGTATTAATTTGTGTAAAAGGCATAACCTTTGATCAGCAAGTAAGGTTTTATCATCTGCAAATCACAGGTTGTTAATGAGCCTTCTTCCAATCCTGATGACATGTTCTTCTTCAGACATTCCAGTGTCTTGAATTATTGGCTCAGCGTACATATTGAATAAGTGTGGTGAAAGACTACAGTCCGGACACACACCTTTCCTGATTTTACACACAATGTATCTTTGTTCTATTTGAACTAATTCCTCTTTGCTTTATGTGTAGGTTCTGCATGAGCACAATTTGGTGTTCTGGAATTCCCATTGTTTGCAATATTATGCATAGTTTTTTTTGTTTTTTATGACACACATAGTCAAATATCTTAGCAATAGGCAATAAAGCACAGGTAAACATATTTCTGGTATTATCTGCTTTTAGCCAAAATCATCTGACATCAGAAATGATATCCCTATTTCACCTCCTTTACTTAATCTGGCTTGAATTTCTGGCAGCTTCCTACTGATGCACAGCTGCAACCTATTTTGAATTATTTTCAATAAAATGTTACTTAGGTGTGATATTAATGATATTGTTCAATGATTTCCACATTCCATTGGATGCCTTTCTTTGGAAATAGCACAATTATTGATCTCTTCTAGTTGATGAATCAAGTAACTGTCTTCTACATTTATTGACATAGATCAGTCAGCTTTTCCAGTGATACATCAATTTGTGGCAACGCTTCATTTGATATTCTGTCAATTCCTTTAGCCTTGCTTTTCACCAATGCCTTCATTGCAGCTTTCACTTTTTTCTTCAATACTATCTTGACATCTTGGCCTCATGAAATGGTTGAATGAGAATTATTAATTATTTTTGGTATAGTGATTCTCTGTACTCCTTCCTTCACCTTCTGATGGTTTCTGCATCAGTCAACATTCTGCATTAATGTCCTTCAATTTGAAAGCTTGAGACTTGAATTCTTTCTTTAGTTCTTATAGCTTGAGAAATGTGGTTGTGCTTCACTTTTGGTTTTCCAATTCCAGGTGTTTGCACATTTTGTTATAATACGTTTTTTGTCTTCTCAAATCACCCTTTGAAATTTTCTGTTTAGCTCTTTTTCTTCATCATTTCTCTTCCATTAGATTGACCAGGAAGCAGTTGTCCAAGTTTCTTGAGTAGATGGCTTGCCACTTTCAGCTTTGCATCTGTTTGTTGAAACAGTGCAACTGCTATTGTTATATTAATTCTTAGAGTTTGGTTTTCAAGAATGCCTTCATTAAAGCTGAAATTCCTTCCTGCAATACCATTGGTTCTTGATTATGTTCTACCTCTTGAAATGGTTGAATGTTGACCAATTATTTTTGGCATACTGATTGTATATTCCTTTCATCTTCTTTAGATGCCTGTGTAGTTCAACACTTTGCCATATAACCCTTCAATATTGCAACACAGGCTTGATTTTTTTTTTTTTCTCATTTCTTAGAGTTTGAGAAATTCCAAGTGTGCTCTTTGTTTTTGGTTTACCAACTCCAAATCTTAGCACATTTCAATATACTTTATCTTTTCTTTTCAAACCATCTTTTGAAATCTGTTTATTTTACCTTAGCATTCTAAAGCAAGTTTCAGAGTCCCTTCTGACATTACTTTTGGTCTTTTCTTTTTTCTCTTTTTATGAACCTTTTTTTTCTTAATGTATGATGGTCTCTAGTCTTTAGTGTTCAATTAGTCCAATCAATTAATTCAATTAGTCAAATCAGTTCCTGTTCTTGTGATGGGCTCTAAATTCAGGTTGTTGTTGTTATAAGTGCCATTGAGTCGGTTCCGATCCATAGCGATGCTGTATAGGGTTTTCGAGAAGCAGCTGATCAGCTTGAACCGCTGACCTTGCATTTCAAATGGTTTTGCAGTCTGGTACATTAACCTACAGAGCCACAACAGGACTCCATCTAAATTCAGGTGAGATGTATTAAATGTCATAATTTGACTTTGCTGGACTTGTTTTAATTATCTTCAGCTTCAACTTGAATTTGTATCTGAATAATTGGTGGTCTGTTCCATAGTTTGCTCTTGGCCTTGTTCTAACTATATTATGCTTCTCCATCATCTCATTGCACAGAATTAGTCAACCTGATTCCTGTGTAGTCTTCTAATGAGGCCCAGGTGTACGCTGTTGTTGTTATGTGCCATCAAGTAAGTTCCAATTCTGTGACACTGTGATGGGTTTCTGAGGAGCTGCTGGTAGGTTTGAACTATCAATCTTGAGGTAAGCAGTCTAGTGCTTACCTACAGTGTTACATCATGACTCCCAATGATTGTTGTTGTTGTTAAGTTCAGTAGAGATGACTCTGACTGATAGCAATCCTATATAGTGTTTCTAAGGAGTAGCTGGTGAGTTTGAACTACTGACCTTGTGGTTGGTAGTACAGTACTTATCCTGCGGTACCATACCAGGACTCCATGTGTATAGTCAGTGTTTATGCTATTGAAAAAATTTAATCACAAGTACAGGGTCGCTATGGGTCGGAACCGACTCGACGGCACTTAACAACAACAACAAATTATCAATGCATCTTGATCTCAAGTTTGGTTAGTTTCAGACTGCAAAAATTGGTAAGTCTTTTTTTCATCTTTGAGTATTAGTCATATTTACTGGTTTTCACAGTAAGTATATAAATAGCATCCTATTACTGGCAATATTGTTCCTCTGAATATTGAAATGTTATTGTTGAAAATGACTGTGAAGACATTTGTCTTCATTTTATTGCTTCCAGGGTAGATAAATATCAATGCACTTCAATGCCAAGTGCATTGATATTCAATGCATTCAATATCAATGCAGTGATATTCAATGCATTCAATATCAATGCATTCAACTCACTAATGCCAAGGATATCAGTCTTTAAGCATTTCCATTTCATTTTTGCTGTTGTTGCTGTTAGGTGCCGTCAAGATCATGCCCACTCATAACAACCCTATGCACAATAAAATGACCCAATGGTCAGTTGTGAGCCAACCTCACAACTATTAGTACCCTTATTACCCTTCAGCCATTGCTGTTGCCATGGGGAAGTTGTCTTCCTCTTTTTCACTGACCCTGTACTTTACCAAGCATGACGTCCTTCTTCAGAGACTGGTCCCTCATGTCCAAAGTGTGAGAGACAAAGTATAGCCATCCTGGCTTTTAAGGAACATTCTGGCTGTACTAATTCTAAGATAGATTTGTTTGGTGTTCTGGCAGACCACGATAATTTTTATTCTTCTTCAAGACCATAATTCAAACTATCAATTCTTGTATGGTCTTCCTTATTCATTGTCCAACTTTCACTTGCATTTGAAGTTATTGAAAATACCATGGCTTGGGTCAGGTGAACCTTAGTCCTCAAACTGACATCTTTGCACTTGACCATCTTAAAGTCATATACAATATATTTGCCTAATGCAGTATTCTTGACTGCTGCTTCCATGAGTGTTGATAGTGAATCCAAGCAAAATTAAGTCTTTGACAACTTGAATCTTTTCTCCATTCATCATGATGTTATTTTATTGTTCCAGTAGTGAGGATTTTTGCTTTCTTTACACTGAGGCACAACCCAAACTGAAAACTGCAAACTTGGATATTCATCAATATTTTAAGTTCTCTTCACTTTCAGCAAGCAAGGTTGTATCATCTGCGTACCACAGGTTGTTAAAGAGTCATCCTCCAATCCTGATACCACATTCTTCTTCATCTAATCCAGTTTCTCAGATTTTTTGCATAGCATACAGATTGAATAAGTATGGTGAAAGAATATAACCCTTACACACACCTTTCCTGATTTTAAACCATTCAGTATCTCTTAGGTCTGTTCAAACTACTGCCTCTTGGTCTATGTACAGGTTCCTCATGACCACGTTTAAGTGTATTGGAATACCCATTCTTTGGAATGTTAGCCATAAGTTGTCATGATCCACACAGTTGATAAGATTTTGCCTAGTCAATAAAACACCGATAAACATCTTTCTGATATTCTCTGCTTTCAACCAACAGCCGTCTGATGTCAGCAGTGAAATCCTCTTTCTGAATCACCTTGAGTTTCTAGCAGTTCCCTGTTGATGTACTGTTGCAGCAGTTTTTGAATTTAATTTTTGATGACCTCCAATTTTCCTTGATTCATTGTTTTCATATTCTGTGTTCCAATTACTAATGAATGTTTGCAGCTGTTTCTTCTCTTTTTTGAGTCTTGCCACATCAACAAATAAAACTCTCGAAAACTTGATACCACCCATGACATTAAAATCAGCTCTATATGAGGAGGCAGCTCTTCACCCATCTCTTCTGAGTGCCTTCCAAACTGAGGGGTTCCTCTTTCAGCACTATATAAGACAATGTTCTGCTACTCATAAGGTTTTCACTGGCTAAATTCTGGGGAGAGGAAGTAGAGTGCCAGGTACTTTGTCTTATTCTCTCTTAGGCTGGAAGTTCCACTGAAACCTGTCCATGGTAGTGGTATTTGAAATATTGGTGGTGTGATTCTAGTATCACATAACATGCAAACTACCTCGTACAACAAATTGATAGACAAGTTGTTGTTGTAAAGTGTTGGTAATTAGGTCTGACTCACCGCGACCCTGATTACTGTTACCAAGGAACAAGCTGGTGAGTTCGAACTGCCAACCTTGCAGTTAGTGAACAGTTCAGTGCTGTTCCTATAGCACCACACCAGGACTCCTTGTTGTTGTTGTTGTTAAGTGCCGTCGAGTTGGTTCTGACCCATAGCAACCCTGTACAGGGTTTCCGAGGGTGTAACTCTTTACGGGAGTAGAAAGCCTCATCTTTCTCCCGTGGAACGGCTGGTAGTTTCGAACTGCTGACCTTAAGGTTCACAGCCCGATTCGTAACCACTAGCTACCAGAGCTGCTTACCCTTATTTAAATGTTACAACTCTTTTTTCATCTAAAAATTATTTTAAACTCAATGACCATTTGAATTCCATGTTTGCTTTCAGGGATGATAAGACAAGCGTCTTCTTATCCCCATCTCCTTTCACCAGCCCCGTCTGGACAGGTTGGAATCCACTCAGTGGAGATTCTACCTTCCCCTGTACCGTCTGAAACTAGGCTCCCTCTTGAAAACTTATAAGCCAGTCACTTCATGCCTTTGTAGCTTCCCCACTCCCCATTTTGGGTAGCCAATATCTGAGTAGCCCATCTCTGTCATATTGTCAGCACCAACCCATGTACAACAGAACTAGAGATTCCCTGTTGCTCGATCACCATCTCAGTTGTTGGTAATCTCAAGTCCACTTTTGCAGGCACTGTGTATGTTGAGCACCTTTGAACCTAAAGGTATCATCTCCCAGCCTTATAATGGATAGTATTCTTTTGTCATTCATTTTTTTAAGTGTTTTATTGTGAATTATGTGATAGTTTACATGGGAGAACATCAACTTTACATTCATCCTATTGTATGTTGTTTCATTGCAATGGTTACAATCACCTCCATGCGTCATCAACCAACCAAGGGGTACACCTGCAAGCCTTCCACCTCATAATGAGCACACAGTCCCTCTTTCTCTCTGGGTCTAGAGTCCCCAACCATTCCATCTCTCCACGTCGTCATCTCTGTCTCCATCTCTGGTGTCACTGCTTCTCTTGGTAGCCCTCACTTTTGTCCCTATTTTTTCATTGATGGCCTTCATAATTCTGGGTTTCACATTTAGTACTTTAATCCATGCTGAGTTGGATTTTGTATAAGGCATGAGGTAAATGTCTTGTTTTAGTCTTTTGCATATCGCTTTACAGTTCTGCCAGCACCATCTGTTGAAAAGACTATCCCCTCCCCATGCGGTATATTTAGGTGCTTTGTCGAAAATCAGTTGGCTGTATGTGGATGGGTTAATTTCTGGATTCTCGATTCTGTTCCATTGACCAATTTATCTTTCATTGTACCAGTACCAAGCTGCTTTGACCACTGTAGCTGTGTAATAAATTTTGAAGTCAGTGAGTGAGAGGTTTCCAATTTTATTCTTGTTCTTAAGCAGTGCTTTACTTATCCTGGGTGTCTTTCCTTTCCAGATAAAGTTTAAAGTTTATAATCTCTTTTTCTATGTCTTTGAAGAATGCTGCCTATCCCCCTCTTCCACTCACTAGTAGACCAAAGCAACAAAGTATTTTGTCCTCCTTTGCTCCGAGGTTCCTGTGGCGTTATTTCATGGTGGGTCTGTTCCCCCACTTGGTCTTGCCATTTTGTCTCTCCCAAGTTGTCGGCTCCAGGCCACAGAGCCTGGCAGGTTCTAAAGTACTAGATTTCTTACTTCTGCTAAAAGTTTCACTAGCTATAAACCTTCAAACTTTTTAAATATTCCTACCTACATTGTTCAGAGTTTTGGAGCTCTACTCTGAACCCACTTCATCTGGTATTCTGTGGTATTGCTGATGGAGATCTTCACTGCACCTCTACCCTATCCACCATAAAGCCCTGACCCTATTCACTGGGTTTTAAATGGCTAATTTTCAAAAGTAGATCACAAGACCATTTTTCCTTCTCTATATTTGTCAAGAATCTCCACTGAAACCTGCTTACCTTGGGTGATTCTGCTGGTACTGGAATAACATCAAAATGCAAGACACCTCAGAATGATTAACTGACAGATTAGTAGAGGCAAAGAGTTGTGATTAACTATAAACACAATAGAAATACTTGCAATAAACTTTGATGAATTCTAAAGTAGGCATGCTGGAATAAAAAGTAGGAGCACATACTTAAATATTCCTGCGGACTCAGAATGAGCATGAGACACATTCTGGTATGGAATTTAGTAGTTATAAGTTTGAAAAATAATGAAATAAGATGCAACTGGGATGAATGAAAACCTAGAATTCCTGGACCCTGCTCAACTTTCAAACAATTATATTCTATTTTGTCCAGATAAGTTACCTTTCTCAGTTTGACAACCAACTGGGGTATGCTTCAAATTCAACTCAGTCACCACCTAACGAAAGCCTGAATCTTCATTTCCTTCTTTTGTGTTCTCTGATATCAGCCAGTAATTTCCATATTCTCACTGCTGCTGTTGCTTACTTATCTTCTATTTTTCTAGACGATAAATTCCAGAATAGGAAACTGTCAATTCTACTCTCCATAATATTATTGGCATCTAACATATTTGGATTTTAATGAAGGTTTATTGAATTGTGAATGAAGAATGAAAATCAAATGATCATATATTCAGTATGAGCTAAATGGTTTAAAATGTACTATCTATATATATCCTAAGTCACAAACTTTAGCAAAAAACAAAATAGATATCTAATAAATATATACTGACATATTGAAGAAAACTACTATAAATCTATCTGAAAACATCCAATGCTTGATTTTCATAACACTGCTCAAATTACTTTAAAATGGCCTCTTCTAATTTATATTCAGGGAACACAAGTATATAAAGAGATTTACTGTTTGTGCTTAGAAACACAAATCTCTGAGATGGCTCTATTAGAACAAGCCATTGGTGGTTCAGTGATAGAATCCTAGTTTTGAAACCCTGCTTCAATTCCAAACCAATGAACTTCACACACAGACATCATGCATCTGTCAGTGGAGACTTATCTGAGGGGGCTTCAAAAAGTTCAAGAAAAAAATCTGTTATCTTGAATGACATCTTTTTACAAACTTTTTCAAGCCCATCATATGGTGCTCCATATAATAAGCACTGGAATGTGAATTACAGGGTTCATGGTTCAAGCCACCAGACGTGCCACAGAGAAAGATGAGATTTTCTGCTCCCAGGAAGACATAAAGCCTTGGAAACCCTACACAGGATTGCTATGAGCTGAACCACCTGGATGACATAACAACAGTAGCGATACATGTTGCTATGATGTTAGATGTATTTAGTGGAGCTTCCTGACTGACATGGATTAGGAAGAAAGGCTTGGCGATTTACTTCCAAAAATTAGCCAGTAAAAACCCTATAAATCACAAAGGTCAAACCCAAAACCAATCACGGGGCTGACACAGGATTGGGGAATGTCTGATGTCACTATAAATCAGAGGCAGACTCAGCCACAATTAACAAACAAACAAGATTTATTGGAGTGAAGACATGGTAGAACTTGTTGAAGCATTGCTGGAGGACTTGAACAGACACCTATTCCACATAGTCCAGGAAGACTTTGTGGCTAAGGGTCCGTTACAATTCAAAGTTAAATTTTAAAGTGACGATTACTGATAGACAAACCTTCATAAGCCGACCTCTGAGTTTCTCAGCACATTAGGATGGAGATGGTGCTCCAAGTGGGGAATCATGCATCTAGGACCCAGGGATGCATCCCAGGGAGGATGGTCCTTTTTTCCTAATGCCTCAACTTAAATAAAATCTCAGTTTAAAACCATGGTTTCTTTGGTTTTATGGGGCTATTCCTTCAGGGGATCTGGTTTATTGCATTTACATTGATCACATGGGAAGATTAAGGTTTGCAGCAATAAACCACTTTTTCTTCTTGGTTATTTGAAGTCAAATTATTTTTAAAGGATCAGAGGTCATTTGAGGCTCATTTGATTATCCCAAGTGCCAAATCCCCTCCTTATTTTTGCTGAAAAGAAAGATTTTCAATGGACATTTAAAATTTACAGCTCCCAGTTCTTCAGGAACTCCCAAAAGATTCCTGCTGGCAACCTTATTAGCATTGCTGCCTCTTGATTTTTACTTAATTCCTTTTAATGTTCTATCATAATACTAACAGGCATTATGGAATTTAAGACTACAAAGGAATCATGATTTTTCACTTTATCATTAAGTCTATAGTGAGTTAATAAATTGTTTATAATGTGCTCTGAGATCATTTAAGAAGGGGTTAAAAAAAAAAAAAAAAA